GAAGAGCGTGGAGGCGGAACCGCGTGGCACCATCACTCTGGAGCTTCTCAAGTGAGTGGGCGGCCGCGCATCTGAAGGGAAATCCGTTTCCATTTAGGATGAAGACGTCCTTCTGGTGGAGGGATCCTGCATGTTCTGTGGGCAGGGAGCCTTTCCAGCGGCAGGGACTTGCTCTAGGGAGGCTGGAGACCTCATTGGGCTGGCTGTTCCTGGGGGTCCTCCTCACGACTGACTGTGTTGGGTCCCGTCTTCTCTCCCCTGATCTCTGCGGTTCGGTCCCTGTTCGTGGTCATCACCTCCTGCTGCGTGACAGCCCCAGCTCAGCAGTGTGAAACGGCACTGTCCTCCCCCGGTGTCTGGGGGCTGGAGGGCAGGGGCAGCGTGGGTGGCTCTGCCGGGATTCTGTGCTGGTGCAGCGGGAGGCCTCCTGAAGACAAGTGGGTGGAGACTCTGCTCCCGCGTTCACTGTGCCGGCAGCTGGCAGGGGCCCTCGGTTCCTTGCCACCCGCTGCTCTGTACAGCTGTGCAGACGAGGCACTGGCATCCCCCAGAGCTGGGGCCCGGGGTGGTGGGCAGACCACCACCGGGACAGAACCTGCAGTGTCTTCTGTGACCTGACCTCAGAGGTGAACACAGCCCTATGTGCACGTGCTGCTGGCCACGCAGACCAGCCCTGGTTGAGTGTGCAGGGTGGGAGGCCGGGCTTGACCACCAGGAGGTGAGAAGGAAGGGGCCGTCTTCCAGGATGCCCGAGCACTGTTAAATCTAAATCTAAACGCGCCCAATCTGATGGTGATCAAAGACCCTCAAAGCAGAAACTGAGTCTCTAGCAACCGCCTGGCGCTGCAAACCCATCGCGGGCGGTCCAGGCCGAGGGCGCAGCCGGCTCCCTGGGGTGTGAGCCTCGATAACCATAGCCCCCATGGGAAGCTTCTGATGTCATTGCACTTCCTGTGGCCCCGCCGGGCTGGAGGAGCGTGGTCTTCCCAGTACCCACCCCCCAACCCCTGCACCTCGGGGGCAGATGAGGTCACCCAGCCACGGTGAGGGCGGCTCCTTCCTGGGGAGGGTGCCTGTCCTGTCTGTTCCGAGCTCTTGGCTGTGGCTTTCTCGGTGAGGCTCGGGGAAGTGAAAGGTCGCAAACCTTGCCAATTAACACCTTTGGGTTCCTGGGAAATTCAAGGAATTCCAAATATTCATCACGAAATGCTTGTGCTTTGAGCTGGTCTTTGCGCTGAATTGTGGCTCTTTGAGGCAGCCTCCCTTGAGACACACGTCTGGCCATCTGCTCAGCACCCGTTTGTGGGGTTTCTCTTCTCCTTGGAGAAGGCCAGTCGGGGAGGGTGGGGACTGACTGACGGGGAGGTGTTTGCACCCCCAGGACCCATCCTCGTGGTTCCTGCAGGCGGGGGTGGAGGGGCTGTGCGGTTGGCGGCTTCACAGGAAACCTCTCGCCTTTGTCTCAGCCTTTTCTTGCTTGTGGACTTGTCCTGACATTTCAAGGACATTTCAAACGGATGCTAACGAGGTGGGGGCCCCGTCGGGGGCTTCAAGGCCGCACTCTGCGCTCCCGCGGGTTTTAAGTCAGTTACGCTTCGATTCCGCCTGGTGCTTTGCTTTGGAGGTCGCACAGCGTCTTTGCTTCACTGGCCTCTGACTTGCTGTTCTCTGGCGTCTTTCAGACATAATGAAGCCTACACGTGGACCAACCCTACCTGCTGTGTCCACAACGTGATTATCGGGAAGCTCTGGATAGAGCAGTACGGGACGGTGGAGATTGTAAACCACAGGTAACGGCCCCGACAGTCGTGCAGCGGCCAAAGTCAGGGTGGTGGTGCAGCACCCAGAGCACTAGCTGGCACTCAGCCCGTGGTTTCACGCTGCCGTCGGCTTCTCCGGGCCCCTCCCTGGTCCCCCGTGCCTCTCGGCCTCCAGACGGGCCTCGCTGGCTGGGAGGCCCCACACGTGGTGGCGGTTGGATCTGATTCTGGTTGGCACTGACCGAAGTCATCATTACTGCTCTGTCTTGACATTTCTTTGTTTTTAGTCACAATAGTGAATTTATTTTGAAATTTTAAACTACACTGAAGAATGGTGTGATTCCCTGATGAAAACAGAATGACCGTTCTCAAATCTTGTCCACTGTCCAGTCTGTCAGGCCTTATTGCTAGAAGTTCATGGCCGGTTGGCTTCGTTATATCCATTAAGATGTAATTTACATGTCATAAAATCCACCAGGTAAAGTGGACGCTTGCATGGTTTTTAGTAAGTCTACTGAGTTGTGCAACCATCGGCACAAGGAAGTGCTCGAAGCTTTCCATCCCCCGGAAAGATCCGCGTGCTGTCCCGCTGGGTCCTGATGCTGCCCCGCCCTGGGCAGCCTCCAGTCCGCCCGCTCTCTCCCACCCTCCCTCCCTCCCTCTTTCCTCTCTCTCTCTTTCCTGGATGCTTCATGTCTACAACAGAAGCCTGTGTTTGTTTTCCCTGCAGAACTGGAGATAAGTGTGTGCTTCACTTTAAACCGTGTGGATTGTTCGGAAAAGAGCTTCACAAAGTGGAAGGGTACATTCAAGACAAAAAGTAGGTCCGCGTGTGGGCTGGGCCACAGGGTGCCTGGACGGCGTGTGCGTCTCTGCAAAAGACGTAGTTGTGCCGGTGACATCTGCCGGGGAGGACGAGTTATGACTCTTTCTTGTTTAGAAAAAGCATTTCATTACTGAGCACAGAAGGAGATAAGGATGAATTTTAAGTGCACCATTCAGGGTGGTGACTGATGGAGCCCAGCTTCCCCTTCTTTGAGGGTAAAAGATCTGGGTCTGTTTTCTTTCGATAAAATGGATGTGAGAAAGTTCAACAATTTCACTGAGAGATAAAACTGCAGTTGTGCAAACAGGACTGAGATTTCAGAATCTGACCGTGTGCCCTTCTCTCTCCTGGCGTCCATAGCGGTTGTCAGTCAAAGCTCAAACACTAGCTTATGAGCATCGTTCTCATGTGACTTGTTCATTTCCAATCTGGAAATTTGGGACTTTTAAAGTTTTTGTGAGCAGAGAAATGGCCACTAGTAATTTTAACAAATTTTGGGGGGGTTCCCCCACGTCATGTGTTGGGTCTCAATTTCTGTCTCTCTCTTTTTTTTTTTCAATAACTTGGGCCGTATAACAGCCATAAGATTCCTTCCAGCTCCTGAAATATACACATTTTCGAGTAGAAAGAAGTTTCCAGTGTAAAGCAGTGGGTGCTTTTGTTCCATCCCACTCTACTGGGTACCAGAAATTCACCTGTTCTAATTCCTTAAAATACCTTTAGACGTAAGACTCTGACCACTTCACCCCTTGAAGTAAGTTAGGACCTGGTGTGTGGACTTCACGGGGCGTCATTCCTGTTAGTGGGAGTAGCACTGACCCGCCCTGTGGTCAGCTCATCCACAGAAACAGGCCACGGGAGCGGACGCCCACCGGCACTCAGTGAGCCGTGCCAGCCCTGTTCTGAGTTTCTGGTTTTCCGCCCTACACTGGATGCTCTTTCCTAACGCTACGTCTCTTGGAGACAGACAGTGTCTGCCAGGCTGTCTGCCGAGAGAGGTCTGGCCACATGTCCCTGCCTGCTGGCCCTCCCAGCACGTCCCGCGGCGGGCGGGGCAGCCTTTCCAGGGAGCGCGTGGCCAACTGTATGCTCTCCCCCGAGGGAGACATGAGAAAGAAAAACAAGGGCCCAACACGGTTGTCACTGTTCCTTTGGAATCAGGCAGAGAGCTCTGGTGGCTGATCTGGAAAGATCTGTCGAGGTTATTACGAAATGAAAAATGTGGGCAGACAGTGACAGGGGTATCTGACTTGAGGTTATGAAGATAAAGCAGACATCAGCTGAACATGGGGAGGGTTGTTATGTGGTTTATAGAAAAAGGGCTGCAGGACACACGGTACATAAAAATGTAATGTATTTCAAAAATAACAATCGGGCGCGTAGGGTGTTAAATGTAATAGCGTCGTACGCTTGTTCTCACATCACCTCGTCTCCTGCGGCTCGTCTTTCGCCCTTCAGGTTTTTGTACCTTCATTTTCTCTTTTCTGCTTTCGTGAAGGAATGTGAATAGTTAGTCTCAAAAGCCACGAGTAAGGGCTTCCCTGGCGGCGCAGTGGTTGGGAGTCCGCCTGCTGATGCGGGGGACGCGGGTCCGTGCCCCGGTCCGGGAAGATCCCACGTGCCGCGGAGCAGCTGGGCCCGTGAGCCATGGCCGCTGAGCCTGCGCGTCCGGAGCCTGTGCTTCGCAGCGGGAGAGGCCACAGCAGTGAGAGGCCTGCGTACCGCAGGAAAAAAAAAAAAAAAGCCACGAGTAAGAGATGCTAAAATGAAACTTTTCATCTTTGCATTTACACCCAGCAGTATCCCTAAAATTTATAAGAAGACATGCCAGAACAAGAATTTATTCCATGGTCACGATTAAGGTGCTGCACGTTTAGACGGATGGTTTATAATTGTTAACTGGTAACTTGGTTTTAAAAAATTCCGTTTGACTACAGCAAAAAGAAGCTCTTTGTGATCTATGGCAAATGGACGGAGTGTTTGTGGGGCCTGGACCCTGCTGCGTACGAGTCCTTCAAGAAGCGGGAGAGGAGAACCGATTCCCTGCGGAAGACAAAGCTGGTGAGCGGCTCCGTGCGGCGTCCCCCGCGGGTGGGGGGGGTGGGTGGAGCCTGGCGGGCCTGCCGCTTGCGGGGGACGCAGTGCCTTTGTGGCCCCAGCTGCAGAGGGTGAATCACAGAACCTGTCTCTCAAGCGAAGCTGCTTGTCTTCTGATTCTGGACGGGGGAGGCGTTCACCTGCGTCCCACTTGTGCCTCTACCCGCCCGAGCCTGGCGGGATCAGAGGACACTCCGTTGTCTTCTGGGTGCTTCTCTCTGTTTTTTGGCCACACTGCGAGGCATGCGGGGTCTAGTTCCCCGACCAGGGATCGCACCTGGGCCCCTGCAGTGGCTCCGGACGCGCAGGCTCAGTAGTTGTGGCTCACGGGCCTAGTTGCTCCGTGGCACGTGGGATCTTCCCGGACTGGGGCTCGAACCCGCGTCCCCTGCACCGGCAGGTGGACTCCCAACCGCCGCGCCGCTGGGGGGGGCCCTGGATGCTGATTTTCTTAAGACTAGTTCTTCTTGAGCTTAAAACTCGAAGTGATGGTTCCAAAGCGGTGTCAGGTGTCACATTTTTCTAGATGATAAATTAGACTGTACCAAACCCGAGGTGTTCAACGTTTGTTTAACAAAATATTCAGCTGCCACTGGGACTGATAGTTCTTTTTGTTTGTTTGCTTGGCCGTGCCACGTGGCATGTGGCATGTGGGATCTTAGTTCCCTGACCAGGGATTGAACCTGTGCCCCCTGCAGTGGAAGCGCAGCGTCTTAACCACTAGACCGCCAGGGAAGCCTCCCGTTAGTGTTTTTTATATTGTGGTATTTCATGGGTGCTATTAGACATCGTTTCTAATAATGCTCTTTTAAACTAAAAAGAAAAAGTAAGTTCCATTTAAAGACCATACAGTGGAATGTTAAATCCATTTAGTGATGTGTTTTAATGCGTTAGCTTGGCTTTGTCGCCCCTTTGGGGAACCTCACAAGGAGGGAGCGTTTTGTGTGGGTACTTGTCACTGAGCTGTGTCTTTATTTAGCTTCTGGCACCAAAGCACATAACCTGCGGGTGGCGAGGACCCCAAGGCTGTGCTTCTCACGGTTTAGGCGTCTCCCTTCACAGCTGCCTGAATAACCACCCTGTTCTTCCCCTTCGTCCCGTTGATTTTGAAAAAGAAATAGCACTTGCACCTTTTTTATTGAGACGTGATCCCCAGTCTAGAAACGCTAAAACACCCTGAAATCACCAAGTGCGAACCCCATCTTGACTGAGCAGAAGCACAGCTCGTGGGGGGATAACCATCTGGGAGAGGCATCCTCAGCCTCCTTAGGAGGAGTTGCCCCGTCTGGTCACAACCAGAAGGCTGTGCGGGCTCTCCCCACAAGGAGGGCGGTGCCTGGCTGCTGTCTTGGGGTCTCTGGGCGGGGCTGGAGGGACTCTGGGAGCACCGAGATGCTGTGTCTTTCAGGACGACTGCCCCGAGAAGGCCGACGGCGACGTGGTGGACGCCGTGCCGGAGGCTCAGGAGACGGTGCAGGTCATTCCGGGCAGCAAGCTACTCTGGAGGGTCAACACCCGGCCCCCCAACTCTGCCCAGGTCCGCGCCCCCCGCCCCAGCCAGGCCCCCCAGCCGTCCACTGTCACCCAAGGGAGTCCCTGCCCTCCAAGCCCTGACCCCGACACATCAACACTCTGTGCACACATCACAGTACCCGGGTTACACTGCGAGCCCTCAGAGCCTACACCGGCTGCGTCTTACCAAAAGGGTTTCCAAACCAGTTTCAAGAGATTATTTTTCTGACTTGTCAGTTTAGGTGCTTAAATGCATTTTGATGTTTGTTTTTGAAAATTGCGCTTATAATTTGCATTATGTATAATAAATTTATTAAATGTAATGCAAAATTATAAGTACAATTATAATTAAATATAATTTAATTATAATAAATATAATAAATTTATATTTATAGTAATGTATACTATGTAAAAATAATTATATGAAAACTATAACACATGTAATAAATTATATTTTATTTTAATATAAGTTATGTTAGTTATACATAAAATACATACACAACATACTATAAGATTTTTTTATTGTATTATCACATCCTATAAGCAAAGCACAGCATGTGCAAAATAAAGGAAACAAAACAAAACATTCATCGGTAAATACATTACCTCAGCACAGCCACTATTATAATTTTAGTGGAGTACAAACTAGTATAAAATAATAGCAAGAAAAGCTTATGTTTAAAAATAACACTCATCCCTTTGGTTCAGTGAGCATCTCGTGAGTCGGTGCGGGTGGGCCCAGGTCACCGGGAGCAGAGCCCGAGGACAGGGCAGGCGAGGACCCCGGCCCACACAGCAGAGCCACCGGCCTGGGCCCTGGCGACCTGGAGCGGGGCCTGGGGGAGGCGGGGCTGTGGGGGGGTGCGCGGCCATCCAGCTGCTTTCCGGCAGGGGAGCGGCCGACCCCGAACCCCACTGCCCCTCTGAGTGATGTGGGGTTGTTCGGGCAGTGAGGGGACCAGGTGGGCCCCTCTGGCTGCTTGTGGAGATAGACTTCGGGGGCCAGAGCGGGAGGGAGGCCAGGTGGGAGGCGGGTCCCCAGGTCTGGGCTGTTGGGAGGCAGAGGCTTGGGGGCCGTGGGCGCAGCAGCACCCCCGGAGGTGAGCCGGAGACTCCCGTCCGGCCCCCAGGATGTGAGAAGGCAGACGTGTGGGTGGGACGTCAGGGTGAGGGCCTGGGTGCCCCGCGCGGGGGGGCGGAGGGGAGGGGCCCCAAGCGAGTGCGTGTCAGGGCAGGGAAGGAGCCCCGACCCAGGTGACCTTGACAGCAGTGTCTCCAGGGAGCCGGTGACACTCGGCTGCTCTGAAGGGGCTTAGAGCGTCGGCGGCCTGCAGCTGTGCAGCGTGCACAGAAGAGTGCCGCTTATGGTAAGGATCCCTGTGCCTGCTGCTCCTGCAGATGTATAATTTCACGAGCTTCACGGCTAGTCTCAACGAGCTGGAGGCGGGCATGGAGGAGATCCTGGCCCCCACCGACTGCCGGCTGCGCCCTGACATCCGAGGCATGGAAAACGGCAACATGGGTGCGCGGCCCCGGCTGAGCGGGTGGGCGCGGGGAGGGAGCGCGTCCGCGTTAGGCAGCCACACTTCACGTCTTCTAGATCGTGCTTCTCAGACTGTCTGTGGGGAAAGAGTTAACAAATGTCTAGTTTGCTGCAGCCCAGTTCCTCTCTAAATAAGGTTGAATTACTAGGAAAATGAAATGAAAAAGAATACGTGCAAAATGCAAGTACCCTGTCTTCTTATTAGGTTCAACAGACAGTAAGATTACATTTCAGAAGCTGGACACATTGTTATTTAAAAGTCGCTTGGCTGGAGGGCCCCCCCCACCCCCACCCCCCGCCATGCCTGCCCAGGCCCGAGGCCCCTCTGCCTGCCGGGCCGGGCCGCGCTGGGCCGCGCTGGGGTCTGTGCTGGGGTCCGGACCTGGCCGTGCGCTTGCGCACTCGTGCCTGGGTTTGGTTTCCCGCTGACGGCCTTTACTGTCTATGGTTTGCTAACCCAAGTGTGACTTTTCATCTGGGGTCGGGTGTGAGGGTGCTCCAGCATCTGCTGTCTCAGCCCTCAGCTCTGCCTGTCACCCTGAGCCCTGACCCAGTCCCCTGTGCTTGCACCCAGATCTGGCGAGCCAGGAGAAGGAGCGGCTGGAAGAGAAGCAGAGGGAGGCCCGGAGGGCACGGGCCAGGGAAGAGGCCGAGTGGCAGACGAGGTGAGACGCCTGGTGGCCACGAGGGCGAGGAAGGGGGGAGGGGGCCACACACCCACCGGGGCTCAGCAGAAGCTCCCCTGTGTCCCGTAAGATGGTGGCCGGCAGCTCTGGGCTGCATGTAAACTGATGTGTAATGTGATGATGCCATGATCCCAGGGGGGAGAAAAGACCGACGTCCGTGTCTTGTCCACTGGCCTCCTGACCGCCTGCTCTGTGTCGCAGGTGGTTTCACCGAGGCAGTAACCCGTACACTGGGACCCCCGACTGGCTGTACGTGGGGGGCTACTTTGAGAGGGATTTCTCAGGCTGCCCAGACATCTACTGAGGGACCGGACCGGCCCCCGGACCCGGAGACCCAAGAGGCTAGACTCCGTCAAGTGGCTGCTCTGAGCTTCGGTCACAGCAGAAGCCAGCTTTTCTAACGGCTGTTCGTGGAGATGGCAGCATTCCCGGTTGAGGATTGAATTCTAATCAACTTTTGATTGTCAAACATGTTACTACTGTTGCGGTCTCTTCATAAAGCTTCACTTGGGATCATCATGTTTCCATTAAGGTTTGAAAAGGAAAATTCTTTACAGTTCCCTTTTATGTGACAGAACCAGAGCTGGGGCTAGTGTAGCTTACAGCACCCTCTTAATTACAAAAGTTATAAATAAAGGAAGTAACAGGACGGGGTCCACATTCCTCCTTATGACGCGGTGGCAAAGTGTTTCTGAAAGTATTTTAAATTTGAACCAGTAACAGGAAAAGATGGATCTTGAAAAAAGTCCCACCAAGAGCTTTATAAAGGCCAGGAATTGCTTTCTAGATTACAGTAAGGCACAAGTGAAGATTTTCAAAGCATCTGATTGAATGAAATGAAAAGTCAGAGTCTGTATTTTCTACCAGTCTTCAATAATGTAAAGATTACTTTTGATATTTAAGTTCAAACTACTCGAATAATATTTTGCTGAAGAGCACGATAGGCATTAGCATCACGTGTACACTGTCCAAAATGAAGCATTACCATGACAACCGAGGGTGGCCAGAAACCTTGACAAAAAGTCCCCAGATGGCTCCCAGCCCCGACAGGTTTGGGAGCCCGCCTCTGGCCCCCAGGGCTCCCCTGTCACTGCAGGCCACACCCACGTCACAGAGTGAGTCTCTCACGACAGTTGGCCTGTCCCTGCAGCACCTGTGCTCCTGTCCTGCATGTGTGAAATACGAGGGACCCGCCTCTGGGGGCACCGAGGCGGGGGGGTCCTAGCAGTCTGCTTCCAGTGGTGTCATTACCGTTGTGTGTCCATCTCTGCGCACGTCTGCACCAGTGACTGTTTACTTTCTGTAGAGAAGCCAACACCACCGGTCATCGCAGAGCTCTTTGAATTGAAGACAATCTGCTGTGTGCACAGACGCACACCTGCACGCGCACGCGCTCACACACGCACCTATGTGCAGTGGTGGGTTCTCAGTGAGAGGGTGTCGGCATTTTGTGTCCCAGCTTCAAAATCACGTTTGTAATTAAAACACTTTTAAAAGCAAATCGTTGCTCTGAAGGCTTGGTTCTGTAGCTTCGGAAACCCGAGGCGTGCTATCGGGGTCGAATCCCAGCGCATTTGCTCGATGGGACCCGAGCTGGGCCGCCGGCGATACACGGAAGCCCCCGAGGATGTGTGATCTTGACGTTATGCAGAGAGGAGATTTTGACACACCCGGTCGTTAGGATGTGGGGAGTCCTGTGTCTCTGGTCGGGAGGCAGTGGCGGCGGTGGTGGCCTCTTTGCCCAGGGAGCGTTGGGGGGACCCAGGACGCATTTAGAACAACAGTGCTTAGGGCAGTTAGACAACCTCCGTGGACTATCCCATTTGTCACCACCTCCAGTAATTTACCATAAGGTTTGCATCTCTAGGTCCTCCCTGGAGGTCAGATTCCATGTGGCCCCAGTAGCCGCTTCCTTCGCACCCGATTCAAGAGTCAAAGGACAAAGGGCAGGATGGCCGATGACCTCAAAGCATGGCCGTCGTGATCCATTAAACACTGTGTCCGCAGATGCTAACACCGACCAGAGCTGCCCCCTCAACTTGGCCGCCGTGACACACTGGGATGTTGGGTGTTTCTCTCTAACAAAGAGTTTTTCAGTGGAATCTGGTTTTTAAAGGACGACCTCCCACAACCGATGTGTCTGGCCCTTGTGGAAAGTGGTGGCCTTGTCGTTGGCCCCCAGTTTGTGACTGTGGCTTTGAGGTAGGGCCCGGGTGCTTTTTAGAGCAGTCTTGTAACTCAGAACGTCCTTGTGGGATGAAAAGTAGAGCACGCTTTACCCAAAGAACTTCACATTTTGACTTTGCTCCCCCTTGAAGGCAGGATCCAGTCACACGTCCAATGGATTCAGTGCACGTTTACTGAGAGCCACTGGAGAGTTAGCCACGCAGATGTCTCGGAGCATGTTTCATGGAAGAGAGAAACGTTACGTGCACGCTGGTGCTGGCTAGATTTAACAGGCCGCCTGCTGTTGGCGACCGATGGTCGTGTCTGGGTTGCTGTGCCACACAGGTCCGTCCCAGGAGTGGTACTGCTCTCCCTGGCAGGGTCAAGGGTCAGGGCATCCCCAGCACTGGCTGGCCGGCTGCGGGCCCCGGTCGTGAGAAGGCATCGGAGAAGCAGGCCCCGGCCCTCATGGGCATCACCGCGTTCGGCTACTCCGGGCTGCTGCAAAAGCCAGGACCCTCCGGGATATAGCATGGTGGCTCTGGAAGGGGTGAAACGAAGGTGCCAGGCGGACCTCTTTACAGGCTCACGGGTCTTCGCAGGGCAGCGCCACAGCCTCCACGAGGAAACGGAAGCCGGCAGTGGCCCCAGGCAGGGCCCCTGAGGAGCAGCTCCGATGGTTTTCTTGGCCACAGTCTCCGTTTCATAGTCTGTCCCCAAGGATGATGCTTGGGCTCGTGGAAGGATCCTCCCGAAACACGGGGAGAAGAGCCCAGTACAGCGCCGATGGCCACCCGGCGCCCGGGCCGATGCTGCCGGCCACTTGTGCCAATGAGCGTGGAGCTGTCCAGCTGGAGGCGTTGCCATCTGCTTGCTGGGTCCTCGCCAGGACCTGAGGCCAGGAAATCAGAACAGGACGAGAGAAGGGCCGGGCATCTCCCGCGAGCCTGCCAGCTCTCCGGGTCGCCCCAGCAAGAAGCTTCCTCTCAGGACACCTGCTCCTGGGAAAAAGTGCTGCCCGCGGAGCTGGGGATTTACAGGTTTGGCAAGTCCCACGTATCCACCAAGAACAGCGAAATGAAGACATCGTTTAAAATGCTAATAAGCTTCCAAAAATCAGAAGCGAGAATAGCCCTCCTCCTGTCTACCCTTGCGCGCTAGAAGGGGAGGGGACAGCTCAGTGACGCCTTGCGTCCTGTGTGGAGCTATCGGCCCTGCAGGAGAGTTCAGTCAATAGAGAGTTCCTACTGGTCCTGGCTTCATCTTCCAAAGGATCTTCCTATGTCCAAAGTGGGTGCGAAGATTGGGGTCCCCTGACAAAAGGGCCTGTCACCAGACCTGCAGGACACCAAGTGGTGTTTCCCTCAGTACACGTCATCTTTGGGCCTATCTTGTACGTTCTCAGTGTCGTTTTCTTCGCAAAGTGAAAATGCCATCTTGGTATTTCTCGGTACGAGTTTCCTGGACCATCAGCCCTCAACTGGATGCCCTGCTCCATTCTGTCTTTGTAAACCAACCACCCTGGGCCAAACGTCTGGTGAAGGGCTGCTTGGTCTCTGCAGAGGGTGACAAGGCACAGACAGGGGCCTTCCTCCATTGTCCCACGAACACTGTTCGTCCTATCCGTGCAACACGAAAACGTCAGGCGAGAAAACACGTAGTGAAACGGATTTATTGTTATAATTTTATAATACGTAATAACTGTCAATATTCCTCTATATAAGCAGAATCAACCATTCTCAGATTTTTGGGGAAGCCTGGACAGATCTGTGGAGATAAATGTTAAACCCTAGCCCTGAATAGAGATTCTTTGCAAATGGGTGGTAGTTGACTTTTGTTTCGTACTGAACAATTTTTCACTGTCTGCTGCTCTGGCCTCTCTGGCGAGGACTGCAAATCAGCTGTGGATGTGTCCTTGAGGCCAGGCATCAGACGTTTGGCCTGTGTGTTCTGTAGCGTGGCCCAGTTAACGGATTGTTTCAGAAAACTGCTTGTTACAGCGAAGAGGGGGCTCAGGGGCACATGAGATGGATGAAGGGGTCTGGGTTCTCTGGGCAGCGAGGAGCTCTGATGGACTCTCTTCCCTCCTGGGGATTGGAGCCTGTTGCTGGAAGCAACGGAATGCCCAGAGCACAGTGTTCGCTTGACTCAGAGGTCCCTGTGCCCGACCTGCTGCCCTAGGTGCCCAGCAGCTGTGCGCTTCCCAGGAGGTTGAGCTGAGAGGAGGTGGTGATCCCAGTAGCCACGGTGGCTCCTGGCAGAGGGACAGACTGTCCACACGACTTTAATGTCCTGGGAATGCCCAGGTGCATAGATGTGGGGCTCCACCATGGCCATGGTGTCTGACTGTGAGGACCACAGAGCATCAGCCCTGCCAGAGCCCGGGCCTGGTGTCCTGGGTGCTTAATCTCCACAATTACCATGCAGTCTGACCCATCGAGGAGGAAGGGGAGGCGCAGGAAGGTGGGCTTGCCTGAGGTTTCAGAGCAGGTAAGTAGAGGACATGGAATTCAAACCTTGACATACAGTGAAACTCACCCTTGTGTGCAGTTGACAGGTTCATACCATCTTGTAACCATCGACGCAATCAACATATATAGTTTAATGGCAAGGTTCAAGTGGGAAAGGACTGTCTTTTCATCAAATGGTGTTGGGAAAACTGGATATTTACATGCCAAAGAACAGAATTGATCCTGACCTCATACCATATACAAAAATTAACTCAGAAGGGATCAAAGATCTAAACAATAAAACTCTCAGAAGAAAATATAAGAGCACAGAGTTCACAACTTTGAACTTGGCAATTATTTCTTGGATATAACACCAAAGGCACAGGCAACAAGAGAAAAAAAAACAGACAAGTTGGACTTTATGAAAATTTAAACACATTTTGTGCATCAGACACTAGCATCAGAGTAAAAAGGCAATGGGAGAAAATATTTGCAAATCAAACATCTGATAGCAGATTAATATCTAGAATATATAGAGAACTCCTAAAACTCAATAACAACAACAACAAAAACCTTGATTCAAAAATAAGCAAAGGACTTGAATAAACATTTTTCCAAAGGAGATATACCAATGGCCCATAAGCATGTGAAAACATGCTCAACATCATTAATCATCAGAGAAATGAAA